TCTTTAGTCTTTGACACTGAAATTGCATATTATCAGAAAATGAAGTAATACTTGATTAACTCTGTAACTGCTTAGAAATGTGACTGTGAGCAATTTCATGTAATTGATAAAAGTAGTCAGTTATTTGTAATAGTGCATAAAGAAAGAGTGAACTGAGATTGACATTATGCTATTTTTATTATATTACTTTTAACAATAAAGTAGCATTAATTCGTCTGTTAGAGAAGGAAACATACACAGCAGGAAATGATATCGACATGATTGACTTCATGGAAGCTCTACTGACGGGGAAAACGGACTGAAATTTCGATTGAACTACCCAATAACGTGGTGCCGTCGAATTATGCCTCTTCAAATATTGAAGACTCCGATTTCCGTCTCATATGCTTAAAATCTTTATTCTGTTCTTCCGAAATACATCGTATGTCTTCTAAGAGCATATCAAATGTATCTTCTCCTGATTCTAGCTGTTCTTTACTGGAGGCAGAAATATCCTCTGGAGCATTTGAAGCTATATGTTCACTCTTCTCCGACACATTTTTGAATCCGTTCTTGGACCTCTGGTGAGGCTTATCTTTTTCAGTTTCATGAAATAGAGCTGGGTTGCCAGTCACTGTAAGATCCGCGGTTTCGGAAACCATTTTATCCTGTGGTTGGTCATCAAAATCATCAAATGCTTCAATTAAACCATCCTTACCAGAAATTAGAAAATCAAATATATCCATTCCACTCTCATCAGATTGTTCTCCTATTTCATCAGATGACTCCATTTTGGTATTTTTCTTTGGCTTCTGATCCTCCTTCTCTTGAACTTCATTATGCTTTTCTAGTACTACCTCCATCGGTTTAGATGCGTTTTGGGTCTCCAATTTTGTTCGAGATTCAGATCTAAACATCATTTCTGGTGCAAGTTCTTCATTTGTGGACTTGGAGGGTTCCTCGTCAGAACATTCATCATTCATCCCAATGAGGTCTGATTTCGCTGCAATCAGAAAATCAAATATATCCATTCCACTGTCTCCAGGATGTTCTCCCTTTTCAACAGAGGGCTCCATTACGGCATTTTCATTTGGCTTCTGATCCTCCTTCTCTTGAACTTCATTATGCTTTTCTAGTACTACCTCCATCGGTTTAGATGCGTTTTGGGTCTCCAATTTTGTTCGAGATTCAGATCTAAACATCATTTCTGGTGCAAGTTCTTCATTTGTGGACTTGGAGGGTTCCTCGTCAGAACATTCATCATTCATCCCAATGAGGTCTGATTTCGCTGCAATCAGAAAATCAAATATATCCATTCCACTGTCTCCAGGATGTTCTCCTTTTCCATCACAGAGCTCCTTCCCCTTGATTTCAGGTGACCTCGGTTTCCCTTTCCTCTTTGATTCTTTACACTTCTCTTGGCCTTCAACCACTTCTCCTGAATTGCCTTCCTTCGAATCCGCTCCTTTACTTTCCACATCTGGAGATTCCTGTGAAGATTCTTTCAATGTCTTATGACTTCCTTCTTTCTCTCTCTTTTTTAACTTTCCAGACCCATCTACTTTGCTGTTCAGAGAAGACTTTGCTGACAATATTTGGTCCACTTTCTGAGGAGTTATGGATTCCATTGCCTGTGAATCCGCTGCCAAATTCATTGGTTCCGATTTCGTTTCCATTCCACTATTCTTGGGTGAATGAGCCTCAACATTTGACTTCGATATGATGGGAGTTATTACATTCTCTTTACTTGGAGACTTCGCATGTTTCCGCTTTCTTGACACTTTTCCACTAACCTCTCTTAGTTCTTCAGTTGCCTCAACACTGGATGTCAGCTCATTAGAGGGTTCCTGTGCTTTATGGTGCTTCAGGCTCGAATCTTCCTTACTCACAGAATCAGTAGTTCTTTGACACTGAGATCCCGAATTTTCAGAGTTCCGCTCCTCTGGCTTGTGAAGAGTGTGTTCTGCTCTAACTGGTTCAGAGTTCGTTGGTGTAATTTGAGTTTCGATTGCATGCGAATTCGATTGTGTTTCTGAGAGCGGAGGTGGAGGAGTTCGATTCTCCTGTTTCAGTCCCAGGACCTTACAGTAATTCTCATAGGTAATAATTCCAGTGTGTTCGGGATCAAAGAGACTTGTCCAGGTGGTAACAAAGCTTTCTTTGTACCTCATTTTCTGCATATAATTGCGAAGATCAACACTAGTGATCACACCAGTATTATCCTTGTCAATCGCATAAAAAATTCTTAGATAAATAGCCATTTTCGGTTTGTCAAAGTAATGAGTTAACAATGTATAAGTTGCAAACTAGAAGGGGTACGTTTAATTGTCAGTGTAAAATGTGATCTACTCAAGGTATTATCGTGGGTGGTATGTTAGAGTTTTTTATTGGCCCGCCAGTGATACGTGCGGTTAGAATAAATCGTATCATCAAGGCGATACGAAGAGAAAAAGACCTGAATGGATGATGCCGGGTTGCTGAATTTTTATTCGTTCTAAGTTCTAAGAAGTTGATATGATGTGGTTGGATTTAAATCTTTCTATTG